GGGGGGGGGGGGGTAAAGTGCTCCCTAACAAAGGCGACTTCATACCCAGGGGCTCGAACCCGAAACCTCTGATTAATGATGAAGGAGTACTTATCATTCCACCACAACCCTTGTTGGTGAAGTACAAGTTTGAAACACCACGACATCATTGTGACACACGAAAACGAATATATAAGGCAGCAACAGACAACAAGAACATTGATCAACATTGCTTAAAGAGTACGTAATCCTTGTTTTATCATGATTTTGTATATAAATAGTCAATATATATATATATATAATTTTTAAGTAACCTAAAGAAAATTGATAAATATTTATCTAAAGAGATATATCTAGGTAAAAATTTCAGCTATTTGCAGTCATACCATATATTTATGTCACCTTTTAACATGTACCCTACTTTTAAAAACTATTGATTTGGTAGCCAACTGACAAAAATCCGTAATAATATGACCATTATACTCCTGACAAAACATATAAAAGATGCATCACGCATAAATCACTTTACGGTTCTCCTTCATTGTAACGACCCGACCGGTCGTTTTGAGCTCTAGCACGTCGTTCAGCAGTTTGAGGCATGAGCAGCTTTACTTCAGGTATTATAACTTGTACGCATGGTCAGAATTGAATTTCGGGGAATTCAGAGTTGATTTGGAAAGAGAATTCTCACTTCGGAAGCTTTGAGTTGAAAGAATTAACTAAGATTGGATTTTTGAGTAAACGGCCTCGGAATCGGGATTCGAAGGTTTCAGCAGGTTCGTATGATGATTTCAGACTTGGGCGTATGTCCGGATCGGGTTTTGGAAGACCCTGGAACGTTTAGGCGCCTATTGTGGAAGTTAGCATTTTGGAGGAATTTAATAAGTTTGGGTTGAAGGGAATGGCTCTGTATGGTGATTCTGGAGTTGGGAGCGCGATCGGAAGTGAGTTCGGAGGTTCGTAGGTCATTTTGGAGTCATTTGGCTAAAAATAGAAATTTGAAGGTTTTTGAGAAGTTTGACCGGAAGTGAACTTTTTGATATCGGAGTCGGAATCCAATTCCGGAAGTTGGAGTAGGTCTGTAATGTCAAATATGACTTGTGTGCAAAATTTAAGGTCAATCGGACGTGATTTGATAGGTTTCGTCATCGAATGTAGAAGTTTGAAATTCTAAAGTTCCTTAAGCTTGGATTGGGGGTTGATTCATGATTTTAGCGTTGTTTGATATGATTTGAGGCCTCGAGCAAGTCCGTAATGTGTTTTGGGACTGGTTGGTATGATTGGTTGGGGTCCCGAGGGCCTCGGGTGAATTTCGGGTGGTTAACGGATTGAATTAGGGTTGGAAAGAATAGTTGAAGCAACTGATATCTGGTATAACCGCACCTGCGAAGTTTTGGCCGCAGGTGCAGAGCCGCAGAAGCGGCCAAAGGGGCGCAGATGCGGTGGTGAAGGGTGAAGGCTGGAACCGCAGATGCAGTCAGGTCACCGCAGAAGCGGGACCGCACCAGCGGAAGAAGGAGCGCAGAATCGGAAAAGGGCTGGGAGCCCCGGACCGCAGAAGGGGAAATTGGTCCGCATCTACGGGACCGCAGAAGCGGTCAAGAGACTGCAGGTGCAAAAGGACTGGAGGCAGTGAGCTCGCTTTAAAAATCCAGTTTTGGTTCATTTTCACTTCAGGTTGGACGATTTTGGAGCTTTCGGAAGAGAGATTTTCTTCATCTATGTCAAGGTAAGTTGTTCTCACTCATTAGACGTTAAATACATGGTTTTGTTACGGATTTGAGCATGAAAATTTGTAGAAACTTGGGGTTTGAGGGAAAACCTAGAAAATTGATATTCTTGAATTTTGACCACGATTTTGGGTATGAAATTAAGAGAAAATCATATAGTTGAGTTCGTGAGTTTATGGGTTTCAAAAAATTTAGGAATCCGGGCACGTGGGCCCGAGGGCAATTTTGTCAACTTTTCGATCGGGGTTAGGAATCGTTATAAATTGGATTGTAATGAGTAATTGAATATATATTAATGGATTTGCATAATTATTGGCT